TCGCCTAGCTACCTGCTGGCCCCTGTTCTTTGTATTTTAACAGAATTTTTAAAAATCTAAAAAAAGAAACAAACCTGAAATACTAGAACCGGAAATCAGGAAATCTGAATTGTACTGCCAAACTTTCTCAATTATCTTGGGCAACAGCCCCTCTGCACTTGAGGTTTATTATTAAAGTAAAGAAAGTTATATAGGTCAGCAGGTGGTGTGGACATTAAGGAGCTGGATTCCACATGACCAAATATGTACTTCAAGTCCCAGACCTGGTGGCTGGAAAATCATGCCAGGTGCATGTGCTTGTGTGCCCATAATCCTGAAAGGAGGGTGGAAGAGGGGGAACTGCCATGTGGCCATCCTCCCATGGGAGTAATTTCTCACTTTCCCTCTTTCTCTGTCTCTCTGGGCTCTATAACAAAAAAACAAATAAAAAGAAAAAAGAAAAGTAATGAAGGTTACACATGATCTTTTCTTTTCTTTTAGTTTCTACTACAGAGTGTGTATGCTCACCAGAGAGAGAGAGAGAGAGAGAGAGAGAGAGAGAGAGAAACCACACCCCCAGAGGGATGGCCATGCCACAACCCCTTCTCTTCTCCATTCTCCTCTTGGATTTTGGGTACACATGCACATGTACCTGGTGTGTTTTTCAAGCTACCGGGTCTGGGACTCAAAATATGGAGTCAGCCCCATGGGATCCAGTGCCTTAACCTCCATGACACCAATTGGTCCTTCTATGACCAAATTTAATTAAGTTTGAGTTGGGTTTCAGATGTAGGGGAGGAGCCAGCAAGTGGCATGGTGGTTAAAGTGCTGGATTCCCAGAGAGACGACTGAGGTTCAAGTCCCAGACTTGATGGTTTGAAAATTAGGACAAAACAGTTCATTTTTTAAAAAAACATTCAGGGAAACAGCTAGCCCAGTGTGTGGTGGTTAAGGCAACTGGATCCCACACAGCCAACTGCCTGATTCGGGTCCCGGATCTGTTGTCTTGAAAAACCAGCCGGGCATGTGTGTATGTGTGTGTGTGTTTGTGTGGGCATGTGTGTGCGTGTGTGCACGTGCCTAAGCCCAAAATCTTGAGAGAAGAATGGAGAAGAAGGGATCAGGGCATAATCATCCCCCATGGGGAGTGATTTTTTACTTTCCCTCTTTTCTGTCTCAGTCTCTCTCAGATGCATACACATGCCCTATAGCAAACCGAAAAAGAAAAAAAAAAAGGGGGCCAGCAGATGGCATGGTGGTTGAGGCGATGGATCCCATATGGCCAATTGCACAGTTTGAGTCCAGGACTCAGTGGCTTGAAAGACATGCTGGGCACGTGTGCATGTGTACCCAAAATCTCAAAAGGAGAATGGAAGAGAGGAAACTGTGGTGTGGCCTCCCCCAGAGGAAGTAATTTCTTTTTCTCTTTCTGTCTCTTTGGTGAGCTCATATGCTCTACAGCAAAAATCGACAGAACCCCACCCCCCCCCAAAAAAAAAGATTCAGGAAAAATGACACAATGGCTTGCATTTCTATTACAGCAGAAATATAACAAGTAAATGATTTCTTTTACTACCAACAAGACAAGTGGAGCTCAAATATGTATTAATATATGCTTAAGGAAAAAGTAGTTACTTTTCCTCTGAATCTTTATATCAAGATGTAATTTTTTTTTATTTTGGAGAGGTTTTTGCTATGGGGCGGGCAAGCTCACCAGAAAGACAGAGACAGAGAGACAACAAGTAAATGATTTCTTTTACTACCAACAAGACAAGTGGAGCTCAAATATGTATTAATATATGCTTAAGGAAAAAGTAGTTACTTTTCCTCTGAATCTTTATATCAAGATGTAATTTTTTTTTATTTTGGAGAGGTTTTTGCTATGGGGCGGGCAAGCTCACCAGAAAGACAGAGACAGAGAGACAGAGAGACAGAAAGCGAGAAATCACTCCCGGGGGGATGGCCATGCCACAATCCCTTCTCCTCCATTCTCCTCTCAGGATCTTGGGCATGCACTCACACGCGTGCCTGGTGTGAGTTTAAGCCACCAGGTCCGGGACTCGAACCATGGTCAACTACATGGGAGTCTAGCGACATAGCCATTACGCCAACTGCTGGTCCCTCAAGATGTAATTTTTAAAAAGAATTATTTTCTTTTTAAATAACTTTAGTTATTTTAATTTAATCAGAGAGAGGCAGAGTGTGCAAGAAAGAGAAGGAAAGCGAGAAAGCAAGCTGCCAGGTCTAGGACTCGAACTGCGGTCAGCCATGTGGGAGTCCAGTGCCCTTAATCACCATGTCACTTGCTGGCCCCTCAAGGTGTAATTTTAAGTATCATTAATGTTCAGACTGTTGTGACATGTACTTATTTGAATTATACTTCAAAAGCATTTGAAATAACTTTAAAAAATTATTTGTATTTATTATTATTATTTTAAATATCTGACCAAAGAAAGATGGAGGGGGTGAGAAAGCAAGTCATTAGGTCTAGGACTAGAACTGCGGTCAGCCATGTGGGGGTCCAGTTATTTCAAGGGTCCACCATACTAACTGCTGGTCCCTTGAAATAACTTTAAAAAAATGTTTAAAAATTATTTATTGGGGCAGCAGGTGGTGTAACACTCAAGGCGTTGGACTCCCATGTAGTCAACTATGGCTTGAGTCCCAGATCCTGTGGCTTGAAACTCACATTGGGCACCTGTGTGTGTGCCCAAGTCCCGAGAGGAGAATGAAAGAGAAGGGAGCACATCATGGCTATTTCCCTAGGGGGTGATTTCTTGCTTTCAGTCTCTCTGTCTCTGTCTCTCCAGCAAGCATATGTACCCTAAGAGTAAAAATCTCTCAAAAAATTATTATTTTTACGTTTGCTATATGGCTTGTATGCTCACCAGAGAGAGAGACAGAGGGAGACAGAGGGAGAGAGGGAAACTGAGAAAGCAAACCACTAGGTCTGGGGCTCAAACCACAGTCAGTCACGTGGGAGTCTCAAGCCTTAACTATCATGTCACCAGCTAGCCCTGCATTTGAAATAACTTTAGCGTCAATAGGATCTTTAGGGTTGGCTCCATGGTCTGGTGGTTAAGGCAAATGAATACCACTTGACTGACCATGCAGTACAATCCAGGACATAGTGGCTTGAGAAACATGATGGGCATATGTGTGTGCACGCCCAAAATCCTAAAGGGGAGGAAAAATGAGTTTAAGGGATTGTGGCATGACCATTCTCCATTAGGGGGTGCTTTCTCATCCTCACCGCCCCCAGTACTGTGCATGCTCTCTGGCAAAAAAAAAAAAAAAAAAAAAAAAAAAAAAAAAAAAAAAGGGGGGTTGTTTTTTTTTTCCCCCCCCCCCCAACTTTTTTGGAGAAGTTTTTGCTATGGGGCATGTGCACTTGGTAGAAAGAGAGAGACAGAGAGACAGAAAGTGAGAAATCACCCCCCAGGGGGTGGCAACGCTACAATCCCTTCTCCTCCATTCTCCTCTCGGGATCTTGGGCACGCACGCATGTGAGAGGAAACTCTCAGGATCTTGGGCGCACATGCACCCGGCATGAGTTTAAGCCACCAAGTCTGGAACTTAAACTGCGGTTGACTACGTGGGAGTCCAGCGACATAGCCATTCGCCAACTGTTGGTCCCACTCTCTGGTAACATTTAAGTAAATAAATAAAGTTAAATAAAATAATTCTTTTAAAAAAACACACACCATTCAAAATTAAGTTTTGTTATGTTGTTCTTGCTTTTTAAAAATAGTTATGCATACCTTTCTGCATTGAAGTCTGATTTGATTCATCTTGGGTACTGTCGTTCTGGGCACTAACTAGGTCTGCAATCAGAACCTCAAGTGATTTATAATTGCTCCCAGATGTCTGAATTTTTTCCTCCATTATTTTTTTAATGTCCTTGAAACTGAATCCCATTCGTATAGCTTCTTGTACCATAGGGTTTTGGAAGATGGTATCATCTGAAATAAAAAGTGGTAAGGTGATGAATATGAGTTTAAACAATCATTTTAATCGACATGAATCCATAACAAAGTATAAGAGGTCTTTAAAAAGCTCATGGGAAGGGGCCGGCAGGTGGCATGGTGGTTAAGGGCACTGGACTCCCACATGGCTGACTGTGGTTCAAGTCCTGGACCTGACAGCTTGTTCTTCTCACTTTCTCTCTCTCTCACTCTGTTTCTCTCTGATCAAATTAAAGTAAATAAATTAACAACTAAAGTTAAATAATTCCTAAAGAAAAACAAAAAAAAAAGCTCATGGAAAATTGGGACCAGCAGATAGCATAATAGTTATGTCACTGGACTCCCACATGGCTAACTACTATTTGAGTCCCAGACTGGCACCTTGAAACACACTGGGCATGTGGGCATGTGTGCCCAAAATCCCAAGAGGAGAAGGGAGGAGAGGCCTTTGCAGCAATGGCTGTCCTCCTTTGGGGGTGATTTCTCGCTTTCTGTCTGTCTGTGTCTCTCCAGTGAGTGCACGTGCCCAATAGCAAAAATCTCTCTTAAAAATAAATGGAAAAGCTCATGGAAAATGTCTATTATGAAAATATACAGATTTCCAAAATTGTTTTGCACCAATATAAACTTGTACTTTTATTTTTAAAAGTTTTTGCCATAGGGAGATTGTGCTTGCCAGAAAGAGAGAGACAGTGAGGGGGAAAATGAAAAATCACCCCCCAGGGGGGATGGCCACACCACAATCCATTCTCCCCCATTTTCCTTCTGGGATTTTGCGCACAAATACATATGCACCTGGCATGATTTTCAAGTCGCTAGGTTCCAGGACTCGAACCATGGTCAGCCATGTGGGAGTCTAGCACCTTATTTACTATGTCCCCTGCTGTCCCCATAAACTTGTACTTTAATTCTACTTTTCTAGGAACTTTGTGAAGTAGTCTCAAATTAAAAAGAGAAAAACATTAGCAGTATACAAAACAAAACAAACCAGAAAACCAAAGCTGCTTTGAGAAGAAGAAAGTTAAAAATATTCAGAAATGGCAGGATCTGTTTCAGAATCTGTGTTATTGTAAATGCAATTAATATGTATTTTTGTAATGCTTTTGATTATTTGTGATTAGCTGGATTTAAAGACTGATAAAGTAGTGTGAGATAAGATAAAAAAGATAAGAAAACATTAAGTGATTAAAAAATCTGAATGTTTTTCAAATCTGTTGTATGTATTAACAAATAAACTACTTATAAGGTAGATGTTGTTACTAAGTCACTAGCAATTATTGTGGAAAAAAAAAAGAAGACTAATTGGGGGGAAGACCTAGTCTGTGACTTAGGTTCTGCAACTGAATAGGTTGGACTAGACAAGGTAGGAAAATAAACGGGGCTGCCCTGTAACCTAGTGGTTAAGAGATCTGGATCCCACATGGCTGACTATAGTCTGAGTAACAGCTCTAGTGGCTTGAAAAACATGCGAGTTGCCTGTGGGTGCCCAACAGGATGGAGAAACGAAAAAAGGATTGCAGTGTGACTACACCCCATGGAGGATGCCTTCTCTCCCTCTCTCTGGTGAGAGCATGTACCTTCTGGCAATAAAAAAAAAGTAAAAACAAACTCAATTTTATAATAAAGTAGACATATATAATACATACAGTAGTACTAAAAGAAAATACTTGTTCACTCTGACCCATCAGTTCTACTCTTGGGTATTAAAAATGAGTAAATTATCAGGCCAGAGGTAGCATGGAGGTTTTAAGGCAGCTAGATCCCAGGGGGTCAGCTGGATGGTTCAAGTCCTGGACTTAGTGGCTTGAGAATGCACTGAGAGTGTATGTAGACATGTCTAAAATCCCAAAAGAAGGGAAAAATAGAAAAGGGAATGCTGCATGACCATTCCCCATAGGGTGTGCTTTCTCACTTTCTCTCTCTCTTTCCATGTCTCTCCAGTGAGCACATATAACATGTGGATACATTAAACTGAAATAAAGATGTCTACTATTAATAAACAACTTTTTAAAAATAATTATTTAATTTTAATTTAGTTTTATTCATTTATTTTAATTTGACCAGAGAGAGACAGAGAGAAAGGGAGAGTCAGAAAGCAAGCCACCAGGTCCGGTACTCAAAGTGCTCGAACTGTGGTCAGCAATGTGCGAGTATCCAGCACCTCAACCACCATGCCACCTGCTGGTCCCTTATTATTATTTTTTAATTTGATGAGAGAGAGTGAGAGGGAGAAAGAAAAAGTGAGAAAGCAAATTGCCAGGTCCAGGACTTGAACCATGGTTGGTCACGTGGGAGCCCAGCACATTGACCACCATGCCACTTGCCAGCACCTAGAAAACAACCTTTAATAAAAACTTCTTTGATAAAAAGTTCTACCTTGGGGCTGTCAGGTGGCATGGTGGTTAAAGGTGCTGGACTCTCACATGGCCGACCACGGTTTGAGTTCCGACCTGGTGGCTTGCTTTTTCACTTTCTGTCCCTCTCTGATCAAACTGAAAAATAATAAGTAAATGAAATTAAATAAAATAATTCATTTTTATTTAAAGAATTATTTTATTTGGGGCCAGCATGTGGAATGGTGGTTAGAGTGCTGGACTCCCACATGGCTGACTGTGGTTCATGTCCTGGACCTGGTGGCTTGCTTTCTCACTTTCCACCCCCTCTCTCTGTCTCTCTCTGGTCAAATTAACAATGATAATGATGATGAGTAAAACTGAATAATTCTTTAGGAACAACAATAAAATTTTTAAAGAATTACTTTATTTAATTTTTTCATTCATTATCATTTTTTAAATTTGACCAGAGAGCAACAGAGAGAGAGAGAGAGAGAGAGAGAGAGAGAGAGAGAGAGAGAGGAAAAGCAAGAAAGCAAGCCGCCAAGTCCAGGACCTAAACCATGGTTGGCCATGTGGTACTTGAGTGCCTTTAACCACTACAATACCTGCCAGTCCCTAAAATAATTCTTTAAAATAAAAAAGAAAACAAAACTTCTATCTCTGCATGAGGTAGTAGGAAGTAAACAAATCTTATGCCTCCTTGAAGAAGCTTAAGAAGGCAAGGAAAAAAGATAGCATCCGCTGAAGATGCAGGTGGGTTAGGGCTGATCATGGTGACAGATATTATCTGAACATTGGATTCAAGATCCTAGCTTAACTTAGGAAGTCCCCGGGACAAAAGTACATTTCACTCTTTTGTGATTTTGTTTTACTTTTTTTTTTTTTTTTGAGGGTTTTTGCTATAGGCCGACTGCACTCGCCAGCCAGTCAGACAGAGAGAGACAGAGAATAGAAAGCAGGAAATCACCCCCAGGGGGGTGGCCACGCCGCAATCCCTTCTCCTCCATTCTCCTCTTGGGATCTTGGGCACGCACGCACACGCACCCAGCGTGAGTTTAAGCCACCAGGTCCGGGACTTGAACTGTGGTCGACTACGTGGGAGTCCAGCGACATAGCCATTACGCTAACTGCTGGTCTCAATTTTGTTTTACTTTTTAATTTTGCCAGAGGGTGCATGCACTTGCTAGAGAGAGAAATCACCATCCCCAGTGTGGCAATGGTCATGCCACAACCCCTTTCCCTTTATTTCTTTACCCTACCGGGATTTGGAGGCATGCACACAGAAGTGCCTAACATGTTTTTCAAGCTACCAAGGCTGAGATTTGAACCACAGTGGTGCTGTAGGCACATCCCTTCTTTTGTGATTTTTTAACAGAAGTGGTGATGGGACAGCCTATCATTGCTCCTCCTGAACTTTGGGAAACTAACTGTTCAACAGCTGTATTAATGTTCTTAATATAGAAATACTGACTTAAATTGATTTTTTAAAATTTTGTTTATTGTTATTATTTTTTCATTTGCTATAGGACATGTGCACTGACCAGAGAAAGTGAAAGAGAGAGAAAGTGAGTGAGTGCAAGCTGCCAGGTCTGAGACTCGAATCATGCATGGTCAGGCATATGAGGAGTCCAGTGTCTAACCACCATGCCACCTGCTGCCCACCTGACTTAAATTTACAGGCATTTCATTAAATTTTTTTCTTTTCTTTTTATTTTTTTGCCATAGGGTATGTGAGTTTGTTGGAGAGAGAGAAAATGAGACAGAAAAAGGGAAAATGAGAAATCACCTCCCCGGGGGGGGTGGTCATGCCAGAATCTCTTCTCCTCCTGGAATTTTGGGCATGCATATACACATGCCTGACATGATTTTATTTCCCTTCCCTCCCCTTTTCTTCCTCCCTTCCTTCCTTACTATTAATCAAATTTTTCCACAAGGGGAATTTCAGTGATTACTTTATTCCCTCACAAAAAGACTAGCACTTAGCGTAATGGCTATGTTGCTGAACTCCTATAGTAGTTGACTGCGTAGTTCAAGTCCCGGACCCGGTCACTTAAACCCATGCTGGGCGCGTGTGCGTGCGTGCGTGCGTGCCCAAGATCCCGAGAAGAGAATGGAGGAGAAGGGATTGCGGTGTGGCCATCCTCCCTGGTGGGTGATTTTTCACTTTCTGTTTCTCTGTTGAGTGCGTGCGCCCTGTAGCAAAAACCTCTCAAAAAAAAAAAAAAACCCAAAAAAACCCAAAAAACAAAGTATACCCAAAAAACCGAAAAGGCCAACTGTAATCAAATGAGGTGAACCTTTTTGTACTGTGTCACTTTGTGAGGTTGGTGCTTGCCACACTTTTTACAGAAAGTCCGGTGGGTTTTACAGACATTCACCATGTTTTCGGGTGTGCTAGCTACACAGAAGAAAAGCCCATCTTCGAGCAGCTGGGTCTGGGACTTGAACCATTGTTGGCCATGTGGGAATCCAATGCCTTAACAATCAGGCTACCTGCTGGCCCCCTTTCATTAAATTCTGAAATTTATAGCAATCTCATCTCAAATATACTATGATGTTGGAAAAAATATGCTTATCTTACTATTCAACAGCAACTACAATAAACTGGCAGTGGAATGAAAGGATATTTTATAAACATACTTACCAATTCTTTTATTTAGTGATGTTTTTTCATCAGTTTTTACCTAAAAGAAAAGCATGAATAGTAAGTTGGAATTCTTTTTGGTAGAAGGCAATTGCTTTAATTTGAAGTCACATTAGTTGTAAATTTGAAATAAACTGGGTTTATTCCAGTTCCATATGTGAATATTCACAAGAGGCATAGCTTGACAGAGCTGGAAAGAAGTTAAAAGATCACCTAATTCAATCCTTTCACTTCACAGACATAAAGTTTAGGCCCAGGAAGTTTACATGACTTCACAGAGGCAATATGACCCAAAAACCTCATGAAAAATACGTATTGTGAAAGAACTAAGCATCAATTTCAATTTTTGCACCAAAATAAAAATCATACTTTAATCCCTTTTCTTTTTTGAGAGGTTTTTGCTATAGGGTGTGTGCGCTCGCCAGACATAGAGAGAGAGACAGAAAGCGAGAAATCACCCCCCAGGGGGGGATGGCCATGCCGCAATCCCTTCTCCTCCATTCTCCTCTCGGGATCCTGGGCACGCACACACATGCGTCTGGCGTGAGTTTTAAGCGACCAGGTCCGGGACGTGAACTGCGGTCGACTACATGGGAGTCCAGCAACATAGCCATTACGCTAACTGCTGGTCCCAAATCATACTTTAATTCTACCAATTCGACTTTTCATGAACTTTTTGAAGTCCCCTGGTACAGTTAATGATAGAGCCACTGGGACCACTCTGGCTGCCCATCCTAGTCCAGGGTTCTTATTACATATTACTGATGCCTTGGCTGCCCCAGTTTGACCCCACCAATTAAGATACATTTTGACATTTTAAGTATTGTCTGTGAAAAGTTTAAAACTATTTATGAATATAAAGTATATCATACAAGCATCTAATTTCAGAAGGCTAAGGAAAATCAGTATTTTAGTTTAAGACAATTTTTGCCTACAGTGACACCTTTAAATCAGGTCATCCTGCTCTCCTTTTCACAATTTGCTTCAGCTTAAGAATAAAAAGCATTGTTCAAGTTACCCCTTAAAAGCTCACTGCACATTAATTTGCAATATTACACAAATAGTAAATAATAGTAAAACAAATGAATTTGAAAATATTTATTATATGAGACTTACCTGAGACTCAGTTGAATGGGTTAAATGAATATTGTTTATATATTCTTGTCCCTTCTCTTCTAACAGATACTTACACCTAAATAGTTAAAAGAAAGGTAAACCTTAGTAGCTGATAAATTAGTAAAACAAGATATAATCTGTATCATATTAATTCCATTAACTTGCTTTAAAAAAAATTTAACTTTATTTATTTTAATTTGACCAGAGAGGGACAGAGTAGAGAGACAGAGAGAGAGAGAGAGAGAGAGAGAGAGAGAGAGAGAGAGAGATGAAATAAGCCGCCAGGTCCGGGACTCGAACCACAGTCAGTCATTGGGAGTCCAGAGCCCCTAATCACCCCACCACCTGCCAGACCCTTAACTTGCTTTTTTTTTGAAAAAAGGTTCTTTCTTTCTTTTATGAGAGAGAGAGAGGCAAAGAGGAGAGAGACAGCAAGACAGCATCCCCAACAGGGTGTTCATGCTGTGATGCACTCCTAGCCTCAGCCAGGCTGGAACATGGGCGTGTGCACACACCCAACATGCACAGGGAAGCCTCAGGATGGGATGCAAACCTGGGACCCTCCCAAGTGGGCTCAGCATTGCAGAGCATTGTATTACCACTGGGTCACTGACTTAGTGATCTCAAAGTTGCTTTTTGGGATTTCTAGGGAGCCACAAAGTAAAATGTCACCTAGTTACTCTCTTTTTAAAAAAAAATATTTCTGTTTAGATTTTTCCCATATGACGCATGTGTTCACCAGAGAGAGAGAAATAGAAAGTGGGAAATCACCCCACCCAGAGATGGCCATGCCACAATCCTTTTTCCTCCCAGGATTTTGAGCATGCATGCACACATGCCCAGCATTATTTTTCTCTCTTTCTTTTTAAAATAATTATTTAACTTTATTTTAACTTGATCAGAGAGGGACAGTGCACATACACGAGAGAGAGAGAGAGAGAGAAAGCCACTAGGTCCAGGACTAGAACTGCATCAATCAAGCATGTGGGAGTCCACCACCCTTAACCACCATGTCACCTGCTGGCCCTAACTCAGCATGATTTTCAAGCCACCAGGTCCAGGACTTGAACTGTGGAGTCAGCCATGTTGGATCCAGTGCCTTAATATCATGCCACTACTGTCTTTTTTTTGGGGGGGGGAATTTTTGCTATAGGGCGTGTGTGCGCACTGGAGAGTCAGAAAGTGAGAAATCATTCCCCAGGGGGATGGCCACACCACAATCCCTTCTCCTCCTGGGATCTTAGGCGTGTAGGCACTTGAGTTTGAAGCCACTGTTTCCACGACTTGAACTCTGGTCGGTCATGTAGGAATCTAGCAGTGTAACCGCTAGGCCAACTGCTAGTCCCAACCATCATTTTAAGGTAAAAAAAAAAAGTTCCTAGGCTGGTCCTGTAGTACGATGGTTAAGCACTATGCATAAGGAGCCAAAGAGTATGGCTGTAATCCCAGCCACAATGGCTTAAAGAAATCTGTGGAGTGTGTGAGTGTGTGTGTGTGTGTGTTGTGTGTGTCCATGATCCTGACAAGATGGAGAAACAGGAGAAAAAGAACTGTGGCGACCATGCCCCATGGTGGTTCTTTCTCTATCTCTCTCTTTAAAATTTTCCAGAGGGCATGTACATTTGCCAGACAGACAGAGGGAAAGTGAGAAAGCACCCCTATTGGGGAATAGTCACACCATAATCCCTCCTCCATCTCTCTCTCCTTTTGAGATTTTGGACACACACACATACGCATTCAGTGTGTTTCTCAGGCCACCTCATAGGTGGCCATGTGGGATCCAGACATTTGAACCAGCATGCCACCCCCTGCCCTCTCCTTTTTTTAAAAAAAAAAAAAGAAAGAAAGACAAAGTTCCTTTTGTTATACTACTTATATTTATTTCGATGGGAGAGAAAAGTCAGCTTGAGGGCCAGCTCCATAACTCAGTGGGTAGGGAAGCCAGGTCCACAAAGCTGTCTGTAGTCTAAATCCTGCCCCTAGTTGCTTGAAAAACATGCCAGGCATGTGTGCAATATCTCAAATACTAACAGGATAGAGAAACAAAAGAGAAGGAATTATGGGTGGCCCCTTGGGGGTATGTTCCTCCCCCCAACTCAGCACATGCACTAACTGGCAATTCAAAAAAATGATCAACTTGAGAACTTTCAACTTTAAGCAAACATTATAAAGTTAGTACCTTCATATATATATTTTAAAAGCATTATTCATGTAATTTTATTTATTATTATTATTACTCTTCAATTTGATGAGA